TATTAAAATAATAATAATAGAAATAGCTTTAAATTAAAAAAAAAAAACCCTACCTCAGCCTTCTCAGTAGCTAGTATTATAGGCTTAGCTGGTTTGGGTTTTGGGTTTTTGTTTTGTTTATCAGTCTCCCTGTAGCCCCAGATGGCCTGGAACTCACTATATAGACCAGGCTGGCCTTGATCTCACCTGCCTCTGCTTCCCAAGTGCTAGGACTAAAGGGGTGCGCCACCACACCTGGCTTGGTTTGAGTTTTTTGTTGAAATAGGGTCTCACTATGTAGCCCAGACTACCACTATGCCAGGCATAAACAATTTTACTTTTCTTCTTTTCATCCTCATTAAATTTGTTAAGATGAACATAACATACCAACCTGAAGGTTTTCATTCAAAGCCTTGTCCTGTTGCCAGGGTGCTACAGTGGCAGGCATGAAGAAGATGGCCACAGGGCCTTGGATGCTGAGCTCTGTGATATAGGTGATTTTGATGAGAACCTTAGCCCGAGGAGGTAAGTTTCCCACACTTACAGTGAAAACATCCTGAAACACAAACAGCAATGCAGAAGCATATCCACTGTCTTCTAGTTAATTCTCCTTATTACTTAAACTACTTGAATGACAATCTGCCAAGATCTTATGAAGAAGAACCCTGGAGCAAGTCACCAGTATGGGGACAGGGTGACATCTGTAGGAGGCAGACGAAAGGACAGCCCTCTGGAAAGTTGTCCACAAGGCTCCACACCAGCAGTCACAAGCTTGAACACAGTACCACAAAAATGTCTCCACCAAGCCCCATCCTTGAGGAATGAACCTGTGGCTTTTCCGACCTTTATGGTATTTGGCACCAGCTCCCAGTGGCTTTTTATTTTTATTTATTTATTTATTTTTTTTGACAGGATCTCCTTGTAGCCCCAGCTGGCCTGGAACTCTCTATGTAGACCAGGCTGGCCTTGAACTCAAGAGATCTGCCTGCCCTTGCCTCCCAAGTGCTAAGGACTAAAGGCATGCACCACCACGCCCGGCCTAGAGTAGCTTTCTTTAAGCTTGCCCTTCACTTAATCTTTTCTTACCTGAAAGTACATTAATAGCTATTTAAAGTATTTAACATTATTTGAATGGAATATCGATAATTACTACAGAAGCTGGCAATATCATGACTAGCTAGAGCAGAAAAAAGAGAAAGCAGATCTTTCCTTCTTCCCTTTTCCTTTCCTTCCCCCTTCCCTTCCCTTCCCTGCAAACTAGCTTGCGTCCTCTATGGATTTCATACTTCAAATCCTTTCCCATAATATGCTACTACTGGATGATGACAAGCCATACCGGAGCATCCTGATCCATCAAGTAAGCACCATGACCTTGGCTGATAGCTTCTCGGTATTTCTCCTGGGCTTCTTCCTTCTCTTTAATCTGGAAAAAAGATAATGATAATTATGATGATAATGATATGACAACGATGATAATGATGATGATTTTGTTTGTTTTGAATTTTTTTTTTTTGGTCTTTTTGAGACAGGGTCTCCCTGAAGCCCCAGCTGTCCTGGAACTATGTGGACCAGGCTGGCCTCGAACTCCTAGAGATCTGCCTGCCTCTGCCTCCCAAGTGCTGGGATTAAAGGCGTGCGCCACCACCCCCGGCTTTGTTTTGAATTTTTGAGACAAGATGTCACTCTATACTAGGCTGGCCTGAAACTCACTATGTACCCCAGGCTAGCCTCAAACTTGAAGCAATTCTCCTGCCTGTCTCTCCAGTGGTAGGATTACAGGAGTGAGCTGCCATGCCTAACTTTGGAAAATATTTTCTGTTTTGTTTTGTTTTCATGTTTTTTGTTTTTGTTTTATTGAGACAAGGTCTCCCTGTAGCCCCACCTGGCCTGGAACTCACTATGGCTGGCCTTGAACTCACAGAGATCCTGCCTGCCTCTGCTGGAATTAAAGGCATGTGCCACCACACCTGGCCTTTAGAAAATATTTTTGATTTTTTTTTTTTGTCTTTTTTAGACAGGGTCTCCCTGTAGCCCCAGCTGACCTGGAACTTACTATGTCGACCAGGCTGGCCTTGAACTCACAGAGCTCTATCTGCCTCTGCCTCCCGAGTGCTGGGATTAAAGGTGTGCACCACCATGCTCGGCAGAGCTTCAGATTGTTGCCTTTGCCTCCAGCATGAGGTCACAGAGGTGTGTGGCTTCACACCTGGCCAAGCTTGGGATTTGCAACCACCAAATCATTAACAGCCTGTAACTGTGTGAACAAACAAGTG